AACATCCAATTAAATATCAAAGACGCGAAGGAAATCGATTTAGAATTATTTAAATCATTACCGAAATTTGAAGGCGATAAATCGCAAAAGAGATTATGGAGGTCACAAATCTGGACATTCATGGAATCTATTAAGGATTTTTACCAAAATTACAGGACCATCCGCTGATGCTCTCAGCAACCACAACAGAGACATGAATTTCTATTCGACGTAGACAGTGAATAAAATGTTACACCACCAAAAAGAATACAAAGAATGAAACAAACAAAGTAAGAAGGACTATAATCTGTAGATATTTCGAACTATGAAGAGCAATTTGAATCAGACAGTACCTTTTTAGGCGAATGAATGGGCTGCCTTGCACTCAAACAAAATGCGGCCTTACAGGCACGCACGTAACATTGTTAGTGGACACAGGTTTTACTAATAATTATATAAACATTAAATGTGTATGTAATCAATAAAGGTACTACCGTTAATTACTTAAATAGAATTAACTTTAATCTTGGAGTAGCTTCAATTTATTGTAATGTGAATTTGTGGTCTTTTGGCATTACCATAATAGTTCGTACTGTCGAGCATATCTAAACAGTAATTTATTTGACATTTATTTTTATTTCATGTTTCGCCATTTAAGTCGTTAACTACTGGAACCAAAATTAAATCGTCTTTACGGTTAAACTTCATAACACTCCCGATGGTGACCGCGTTTATAATTGTTGTTACGGCGACAGAAACTCGGAGGGTTGGCCCCGATGGGTGAGCATAATGGTCAAAGATACTGCAGAACTAGCACAAAATGTGAATAAAGTAAGGTTATTAGCAATTACTCTCTACAATCATAAAAACTTATGGTGGTACAAATTCGCGACAAAATAGTTGGTGAAACGAGTACCACACTATTAGGGTATATCAATTATGCGACAAATTGGAAAGGGACTAAAAGGATGTTAATCGAAAATCTCAGCGAAAGAAATGCCATTTTGCAATTACACGAAAAAGCAATTCATAAAAATTCAATTCAAGTTTTCTCTTGAGCTTTATGCTAAAATTTCTGGTTTTTCATTTGAATAAGATCAAGCTAAATTGTATAATTATATTAAAAACGTATAAACGTTAATATAAAGACTTATTTGAATTATAACATTTAAATAATATAAATCAAAAGCTTAAATGGTCGTTTTAAAAACAATAATATGGATGTCCCTATTGCCCGCAAGGGCAAGGGCACTTAACAACTGCAAATGCAGTATGACAACTCGCTAAAAATTACAAATTCAACCCCGGGACAAAAATATTCAATAATGAAAAGAGTGATTACGAATGGAGATAATGTTATAGATGAAAATAAAATTGAAACCAGCATTACAGATAAGAAAGATATTAATATAGATAAAGTTTCTCCGTTCTTCATTAAACTCTACCTGTGGAAGTGAAGTTAGCGAGTGCATAAAATTGAATAATGGTACCCGATTGATTAAACAAAAAACGTCGAACAAACTGAAAAACTAGTAACACTAACAGCTTTAAATCAAAATATACAAATAGAAATTCTCGAACATCCTACATTTAATAACACAAAAGGAGTCATATACTCAAATGACCTTCGTGACATTGACGAAAAAGAAATAATCGAGGAACTTAAAACCAGTTTTGTCGTTGACGTACAAAAAATAAAAAAAAAACTGGTTAGAGAGAAACTGGTCGGAACTGGTCTTCTTGTTTTAACTTTCTTATTGTCTGCTCTTCCCCTACATCGGATATGAGAGAGCAACGGTAAGACAATATATACCCCGAGCAATGCGATGCAATAAGTGTTGTGAGTTCGGGCATATTGCTAAATATTGCCAAAAACAACAAATTTGCATAAATTGCGGTAATCCCTCTCACATAAATAAGGAGTCATCTGAGAAATGTACTATGGAAACTATATGCATAAATTGTAAGGCAACACAACAACAATGCAACCATCTTACTCTGGGTAACTCTTGCCCAATCTTTGTAACAATCTGTTGGAATTATAAGTTTATTAAACAAGTGAAATATTTCCTACAGAGAGCTTTCTTGTGATGTAAAGAATAAGACATCCTTTTGAATTTGAGTTAGTTCCTAATAAACCTTTATACGAAACACACGTCGGTCTCTTTATTTTAACTCGGTTCACTCGCGGTCCGTTACAAAAGGTCAGTCTATACAAAAAGTTGCTTGGATGCAGTATGTCTGCAAGTCAAAGCATGTTGTCTTATCTGACTTCGTTTGTCGAAGTCGTAGATAAATTAGCTGAGCTCAACATAGAATTGAACGAGGAGCTGAAAGTGATTATACTGCTGTCCAGTTTGCCTGCAGAGTATGAAAACTTCGTAATAGCAATAGAGACTCGTGACAATTTACCATCGTTTAATGCGCTAAAAGTCAAGCTTTTAGAAGAAGGTGCCAGAAGGGAACAACAGGTAAATCAAGAGCCGTTGGCGCAAGCGGTTTATGCTCGTGTCAAAGAAACAGAGCGCAACAGCAACAGATCTAATGCAAACGCAAATGCAAAAGCAAATGCAAAACCAAATGAGTTCAAAGGCAAATGTTTTGGCTGTGGTATACGGGGGCATACGGTGGCGCGGTGTACACGAAAAGGAAAACAGCAAAACAATCAAGATGGCAAACAGAACGAAGATGACAATGCGCTTTCGTACGCGGTGTATGCAGCAACAGTGGGAGTAGAAAAAGATAAGAATATTTGGTGCGTCGATAGCGGCGCGACCACGCATATGTGCTGTGACAGGGATATGTTTGTTTCGTTTGTCGAAAAACAAGAAAAAATTATGTTAGCAGCAGACAATTTTATATATTCGAAAGGTGTTGGTACGGTGAAAATAAGGACAACAGAATGTGCCTTAGAATTGCGTGACGTATTGTTTGTACCTTCACTCAAAATGAATTTCTATTCAGTGAGTAAAGCAATGAATTATAAACATACCGTGTTATTCGAAAAGTTTTGTGCGAAAGTAAACAATCTAAAAGGTCAGACTTTATTGAAAGCCAATTTCAAAGAGAATTTGTTTGTATTCAATGCGCAAGTACGTTATTCAAATGTTATGTTAAACAATGTATCGTGGCATAATAGGTATGGTCACATAAACTTTGAAAGTTTAAAAGAAATTGTTAAACATGATTTAGTGCGCGGACTAGATAAAACAGATGTTAACTCGAAAATGAATTGCGATACATGTAACAAAACAAAAATAAGTGCAAAGCCATTTCCTAAAAAATGCGAAATAGAAACGAAGCAAATACTTGAAGTTGTGCACACGGACGTTTGTGGTCCGATCAATGTGAAATCAGTGGGTAGTGCACGATACTTCTTAACTTTTACGCACGATTTTTCAAGAATGATATTTGTGTATTGCATGAAGGAAAAAAGCGAAGTGTTTGAAAAATTTAAAACATTTAAAAATATGGTGGAAAATCAAACACAAAAGAAAATTAAAAAGCTACGAAGTGACAATGGTACCGAGTACACCAATAACAAGTTTAGTGAATTTTTAAATGAATGCGGAATCAAAAGACAATTGACTGTGCCATATACTCCGCAACAAAATGGGGTTGCAGAAAGAGTTAATCGTACAATTGTAGAAATGGCTAGGAGCCTGTTAGTGCATAATGGTATGGAAGAGGAATTGTGGGGCGAAGCTGTTCATACAGCTGTGTATATACGTAATCGAGCGCCTACAAAGTTATTAAAAAATTGTACTCCGTATGAAGTAAGGTACAATCGATACGCATGTTACTTGAGAAAGAGTTGCATTTACATCAAATGGACATTTCAAATGCATATCTTAATAGCAAGTTAACAGACGAAGTTTACATAAGACAGCTGGAAGGTTTCATAGATGGTGAAAATCCGAAAAAAGTGCTTAAGTTAAATAAAGCTCTTTACGGCCTGAAGCAGTCAGGTAGAGAGTGGAATAATACACTCGATGCAGCATTGAAGAGTTTGGGTTTCAATCCGTGCAAAAGCGAGCCATGTTTGTATGTCAAACAGCGAGATAAAATGTTTAGCTAAATAGCAGTTTATGTTGATGACTTAATATTAGCATGTCCCAGCGAAGAAGAGATACAAACATAAAACGTAAATTGTCGTCAAGGTTTCAGTTGCATGATGGTGATGCAATGAACTTCTTTCTTGGCTTCGAAATAGAACGTTAGGGTAAAACAGGTGCGATTTCTGTGTGTCAGAAAAAGTATATTAAGGAGTTGTTGAGTTGTTTAAGCTGAGGCGGAATACATCGCCTTGTGTAGAGCAGTAAAAGAAGCGGTATATCTTCGTCGTTACTATTTTATTGAAGGGCGACAACATGAGCGCAATACAAATTTCAAAGAATCCTGTATTCCATAAGAGAACTAAGCATATAGAGATTAAATATCATTACATTCGTGATGTTGTAGAACATAAAGAAATTGAATTAGAGTATGTTTCCACAAATGAAAATGTATTTGATATTTTTACTAAGAATTTGCAAAAACAAAAACATGTAAAGTTTGTAGGTATGCTTGGTCTTAAATATTAATGTTTAGAAATATTTAACTTGAGAAAGAGTGTTGGAATTATAAGTTTATTAAACAAGTGAAATATTTCCTACAGAGAGCTTTCTTGTAATGTAAAGAATAAGACAGCTCTATAATATGAATACAATATATACTAATATGAATAATATGTATATGTACATCCTTTTGAATTTGAGTTAGTTCCTAATAAACCTTTATACGAAACACACGTCGGTATCTTTATTTTAACTCGGTTCGCTCGCGTAAGTTATAGTATACAAAATCTGCTAACATTATTTTACGTTTTATTTTATTTTATTTTATATTTTGTTTTATTTCATTTTTATTTATTTTATATTTTGTTTTATTTTATTTTATTTTATATTTTGATTTGTTTTATTTTATTTTATCTTTTGTTTTGTTTTATTTTATTTTATTTTATATATGATCCGTAGAATTATATGTAAAATTGGCCAAATAAAAGGCAAACAAAAAGTATCATAACAATAAATACAACTTGTATACGTAAAAAATGCATATTTAATTATGTTTTACGAATTCAGAAGATCGTATTATATATCGTATTCTATGACTACACTACTCGAGCAACTAACAGTCTTGAATAGAAG